GCCAGTATCATTTCTTAATCATATCAACTATCTTCCGCAGCAGCTCCAGTCACCATGTGTCCTGTTTGCAGCGGATTTGAAAATCTGGAGGATCATTGAGAACCAGGACGACTGCGCTCGCCTCCAGCATGACTTAGATCGACTGTCAACGTGGTCCACTGAAATGCAACTCCCCCTTAACGCAAGCAAGTCGGAGTTCATCAGTACCACAAGACGTCCAGCCACCCGGCCATACACCTTGGACGGCCAGTTGCTCCACCCCAACACATCTGTCAGAGACTTAGGAGTTCTTTCGCGACATGACATGAGTTCACTAGAAAATACAGAGCAATTTTACCGTGCGGGACTTCGTATGCTCTGGACATTAAGACGCCGTTTCCCCACATGGTCTGAAGAAACCGTCCCTCGTCTATTCACCTCGTTCATTAGAACAATCCTTGAATACCGTGCCCCAGCTCATCATCCGATAACCCAATGGGAAACTGAAAAGCTGGAGAAAATATAGCATATCGCTACTAGAATGGTACCGAGTCTACGAGAGCTTCCGTATGAAAAACGTTGTGCAATGCTCGGACTCTACGCACTATGCTACCGTCGAGTAAGTATTGACCTTATTATGACGTATCGAGTACTACACTTGAATGACTTCCCCATACTGCGGCCAATATTTCACCCGCAGGAACCCTGTACACCCGAGGACACCGTTACAAACTCAGGGTCCCCTGCATGAACAAAGTGTCACATCAGCTGTGTATCGAACGAAGAATCGTAAACTTATGAAATACACTACCAGAAGGATTAATAGAGGCCGATTCTGTGATGTGTTTTAAAACCCGTATCGACGATTATTTTGGAAACCTGTGCTTTTGTAAAACGATGCACATACAATGCCAAAAGAAGTCATCGTATGCCCGGAAATAATGACACCAGTACAAATTTCTAACCGAACACGGATAAACAATTAACGCACCAGACACAACCGCTGATGATTCACAACTACATGTTTTTTGATTTTTCGTAATTCGATAGAGTTGCAAAGAAACCTTCCAATTGCTCTTAAATACAGTCTCAGTTGAGGTTCGCTCTGTACGAGCACACCAAGGTAACGTTACTGGCAGCCGGTCTGCAATTCGTGTTCCCCAAGCAAATAGCTGTAGTTATGTCTATGGCGTAATTGCACAACGCGACATTTGTCTACCTTGAATGGTAGGGCGTTTTGTACTGACCAGTTCAACACCACGTTATGATCGCACTGAAGCCGTTCGTGGTCCTCCGGTCTTCTGATCCTTCTCCATATCTTGATAGCATCAGCGCAAAATAGGAAATCGGAAGCAATTGGGCTTGCCGTCCGGTCGCCGATGCATCTGGTGAACCCGCCTTACTGAGGAACAGGACGAATCCGGAGCTCACCGAAATCCCTCCAGGTCAATCCTCGTCAGAAGCGGTACACATTCTCTTCAAGGGGATTGTTGCTGGCACGTCAAATAACCCCGCAAATACGCCACAAACTCCAGTGCGTGGGCTGAGACACAGAGTTCAATTCCTGCTCACAACGTTGCACGATGCAGGCACTCGGAGTCGGAGCACAATTGGGCTAAATTGGACAATGTTCTTTCGTAAACCACCAGACCTGCGTAGTGACTCATTGCACCCACAAAATGAAGCATTATTCCAACTGTGATTCGGCCTCTGTGGGTCGTAAAAGAACTCGTCGGCCCGTTGTGTTTTTTCTTGTCTCCTCTCGCGGGTGGTTCGGAATCGCGAGATCACGTGATCGTGTGCGTCGTTTCAGCCAGCTGTTGCGTGTGCGACTGTCTGTCGCGTTTATTCCCCCGCTCGTGTGCGTATCGTTGTCCGTTTGCTAGGCCTCAGCGGGTCACTCGATTACGCTCGTGAATATTGTACGTGCTCATAAATGCGCATAAATGTGCGCATAAATGTTGTCAATGCTAACGCGACCAGGCAGCACAAATCTCTTACACAAGATAGCAAAATTCTGATCGCGACCTGTGCAATGCTTGTGCGTGTGTTCCAAATGGCGGGCTTGATGCTTGCTTGCGGGAGGAAAGATCACGCAGAACGGTCAAATTCAAATTGTCGATGTGCATCTCTGGGGACACATGATGTGGACGCCGATGACCTTGAACAGTTGAGCGGACCAAAAATGCACACGCACATACACTGCGACAGGGAACAAGGTTGCACTCTGTGGAGCCGTAAAGTGCAGTTATTGCGGAGCAGGAGAATTTCGCACATTGCAAAATCCCGCTACATACACATTTTTACTTGAACAAACGTTTGTTCACCGACCATTGCACACTAAACTTTCAAATGGTCAACTTATGGAGGCTGAATTCATAACGACTGTTATGACAAGTGGTCAAAATACCATTGACGGAGGCAGTCAACGTACAGAGATCTGGTTCCATAGGGTTTCATGGGGAAGATTCAAACTATGGAAAATCGGTGAACAGAGAGCTAGTCAGGATACAAAGATGCTCAGCATCAGTCGTTCGGTTGTTAAAATCTGGCGCTTTCAAGAAGCTCGAGCTACACCGTGCGGTAGCAGCTCAACTCAGGTTGTTACCAAGTGATTTGGAAGTCATGTATGACAGTCAAGAATGTGTGATTCGCAAAGGATATTCCGCAGTCCAAATGGCACAGAACTGAGAAGTGGAAAATTGGTGAACATACACAAGGTGTGTGTCGATGTAAGCGCTTTATGCGTAAACGGAGCTAACTGCACAATGTAATAACATAGCTTGACAAGTCACTTTGCTGTGCGAAATACACTAAGCAAATAAGAGAATATTTGCCAATAAATTGTCCCGCGCATCTGTGAATTCACCAGAATATTCACGTTAACACGCATGTATCTTCGCCTACCCCAATTCTAGGGGGCTGGTTAATGGTGTTAGTTTGCGTCATGTTGTCACTCGATAAACGGCAGTCATGTCACCTAATGCAGATGGTGTAATAATACATCATTGAGCGGTTCAAAATATGTGCACTCAGAAGTGACTTTAGTCGGAACAGCTTTCCACGGCTGACAAATTCTGAAACAAAAACGAAACTCCGATCTCATTTCGGCTGACTGCACTGGGTGGCCAGCTGGTAACACCACGATTTCCCGTTGCGGCTAAGTTTCAGTAGGTAGCGGAAAACTTGACTGGAGTTTTTCAGTTTGATACAACAGAATGAGGTCACCCAGTAGATAGCGATAACTTCCACTGTACACTCCCAGGGCTTTAGGTCGCAGTTTATATGTCAGGTAGAAAAGCTGTTCGGATTTCTGGTTACCCTTCGCTGTGTGGTCTCCAGTGCAGCGAGGTCGCGTTTTAGCCAGGGTTGCCAGCCCTGAACCACATACTCTACGTGGGGCCTCACGCACAGAGCTTCTTTGAGGAGATGGAAGGGTCGCCTTTTCCCATCAGCTTGTTTCCTGGTTTTTATAATCTTCACGGCTTGTTTTGCGCAGCTGAGATCATAACTTACTTTTGCAAGGCAGCTTTCAGGATAACACAATTGATTGAAGTCAAGAAACACGGTAACTTATGTATCCATTCTCACCTCTGATGCTCCTAACTCCTAAGGGACACTTACCGTGCAACTTCAGGAAAATCGGTGGATTCCTGCGTAAGAAGCCGAGTCCTGCTTCCAATTCTGGTTTCCACTTTTGCCGCAAAATCCGCCCTGCTTGTCACACGCCCCGACGAGACACAAACAGTCTATGCTCACATGCATGTACTAACACATTCTGGGCGACAGTGTGTTTAATCAACCTTGTCTTACTTTTGTCCTGTCTAATACTTGCCTTAATAATCCTTCGATGTCTAGCTGCGCTCCTCAGGTTTTCGTGGAAGTGAAAGTTGTGACACGAGTCGATTTATCGACTCCATACCGCATTACTATGCTATATGCTGTTTTAAAACGCCCTTTCTATCTATGTGTGTTCGCGTTATAACTAGAAAAATAAACACAGAAGGAAGCCAGATTTCCCAACCGACGACTAAGTCATATCACGTTAACCGGTTAAATCTTCCATTTTGGATACCCAAAATTGCTTCACATAAGTATGCGATTCGCTTTTAAATCCATTCTGCACACCACTCCACATTGGTCGAGGTGTGTTTTAAAGTTATCAGCAGAAAATGAGAAGGAAAACGGTGCCAAAACTAATTTTTTCTCACGCGATTGCAGATTCGCACCAAGTGCCCGAGATTTTGACTTCCGGCTTAACTCCACATGGTGCGGATTTCCACCGTTCGACCTACCTTTCGTGCTACAACTGAGCACTACCTCATTAAAGGAACTGGGTTACGTACAACCAGTCACAAAGCCGTTTGGCAACGTTTAGATCATCAGCCGTACGCGTTGACACAATTTTAGATAAACATTTACTCTCCAACCTCGTGGTAACTTCTCGTTCATTCTCGAATGTTTACATCTAAATATTGTATGGAAAAGGATATGCACACCTTCGTGGGTGCTGTCTTGTTACTCCGAGAACGAACAGTGGTAGGTAGTTCGGTCGGAACACGATAACCCACACTCACTGTCGTTTGACCTGTTGGCAGATTGGAGCCAGGGCAAATTACATTAGCTGGTTGTGGAAACATGATAATGACACACTTCATCCATGACGAAGGACATAGCACTTGATTATCGATGGGTGAAGATAGCAAAGCGTTAAGAAACCTGGGATCCATTAGTTTTGTCCGCTTTTCGGCCAAAACTTTCGTGCGCACATGCAACTTTCCGACCTACTGGCGAGCGCGATCAAGGTCAATGACCGCCAATACGATGTACGAACCGCATAAAGTTACGGCCGATTGGCCGGTTTCCGAGTGTCCATCTGATTGGCAAAACCCATTTCACTCCAACTCCCTCGGTAACTCTGACATCGATCAAGTAACCGATTGGCGCAGCTGACTCTACGCCCGTTGTAATTGCGGATTCACACCCAGCAAATTATTACAAGTGCTGAATTTTGGGCAGTGATGGATAAACCGCCGGACTGGAAGGCCGAGGTGGCTGCAAAACGACGACAGCGTGAACGTGAGACCGATGTGGAACGAAGATGGCAGGAAGTGATCGATAAAGGCGGCGCAGGTGCACCGGAATGGCTCCGTGAAGCTGCTATGCGTAAAAAGTCCATGCAAAAGCAAGATGACGGATTGGTCCCATGGATGAGAGAGGTGAAGAAAACGAATAAGGACTTAGCTAAAAAAATTGCGGAAGTATACCAAGCTGAACAGGAAGCAGCGGCAAAACAGACGGCCAATACAGCTACCGTGCAACAACAGTAAATACTCAACTGTTTCAAATGTCCAAGTCCCCATAGAGTGTTTAACTTCATACACAACTCTGTAAGTGCGAGCAGATTTATTCTACTACTGAGGACTTAACAACTATTAAGGCCTGTGATTGCATTTGCTACGCATTATTCTTTGCCTAGGTTCATGACTTCTGACTGTTGTTTTATTTGCCTTTTGTCTGTACATAATCTGCCCTGCTTCTTTTTGTAACCCGAATTAACCGAGATTTTATCTCTACTGTCGTCTTCTACTTTGCATGGTTTGAACTTAAGTTGGTACGTGCTTCGTAAGAGCAACTTTTGGTACTTGTCATGTATAACTCTGCTATTTGCTGGATGCAGTTATTTGCCGAATCCACAGGTACGCAACTACTCAGCAGTGGTTATTTGGCGAGAATCACTCTCACGTTCATTGCAAAGAAAGAATTCAAAGCTGGCAGTGTTAAGTGGAATCTGCTTGCGTTCTCCAGTACCACTGCGATGTGTGGTTCTTGAAAACGAATTTTCAGTCTGTCGCCTTGCAGGCTAGTAGAATGGCTAGGACCGTAGTTTGATGTATTTTAGCAATGCCGTCAGTCATCTTTGCAACAAGCTTACTCGAGTAGAGGTCACTTGGATGGATATCGATCGTTTAGGATCTTCACTAGCGGATTTGTACATATTTGTTAAAACAGCGGACGGTAATACAACTGAGTGATTACAATTTCTGGGCAACACACTTATTGCTTTTACACTATGCCTTATGGTAGAAAACATGTTTGCTCTTTCACCTTTGTTATTGAATTAGACGCACATGTCTAAGCGGTTGTGATTCGCTTTTACTCATTTGGACGAAACACCGATCCGGTCCACAAATACCTTATTTTTGTTAACATTATCACGCGTTTTGTTGTAAAAATCATCAGTGAAGGTAGTTACTGTTCTGCGGAGGTCCTTAATTAGCTGTTATCTGAATTTGGAAAATCGACGTGTACGGTTGTCGGTAAATGCTCTCTGTCTCCAACCGTTGAATCCGGGTCGATTTCATACGAACCTATCTGTTACGAGACAGGGACACGAAAACTACTGTTATCAATCTCTTAAGCGTTACGTAGCCAAGTGCTTGTGGCACAGGCAAATATTAAGGGTTGTATGGAAGCGAATTTGTGTAAACTTGGTATATGTACGTTTCTTCCACCTACTAAATATACTCTGCGCACTTAATCAGTAAACAACTACGGTAACTGATTATCCATTTCGATGTATGGACTCAATTTGCTTGGCCTTGTTCATCAGGTTTTGCTGCTCCCACCGTGTATGTGTGTTACATTGCGATACGCTGATTTTGAAGGAAGCCTTTGCCAATCTGATCACTGTGTGTTCAAATTGATGATTTCCGATGTTGCTCGTTCCCATCGCTGCACTCCACGACGCGTTTCGTCCTTGTGTGGACTCATCAAATAGTGGTAGCCTAATTAGGAGTGAGAATCGGCACACAGTAGTTGGACGCTGTCACCAGGATTGCTTGGACATTGTGCTCCGCGGGCAGCGCCTGACAGCGGTTAGAAGTTGATAGTCTCGCCTTAGGGTTGCACTGATGTGTGTTTGAAAGGGTCGAGTAACTTAATGGATTTTCTATCCTATCGTCATACGAACATTTAGTCATAGTGTAATCGCTTTGCTCTTCATTCGTGTCAGTTTGAAACTAACCAGCGGTCCGATCGGATTAGGGCGGAAATCCGGTTGTCACGCCGTTATCGACCGCTGGAACATGCTTCCGGAAAGTGTTATCAGGGAATCTACGGTTAAGGGGTTTGAGCGGCAACTTGACGCTCTTGGGTGGCAACACGAAGCCTTTCCCTTTTCCTGACTAACTCGCATCTTCGTACTTCGGTTTTCTTTTCTCTACTTTTCTTCACGCCTTGGTATTATTTTCCTATTTAAGTACACTTCCTTATTCTGCACCTTCGATTTCTCTTCCTATTCTTTGCTTAATTCACGTGACTGCCACAACAGGGACTGCTAGGGCAGTAAACGTGGGCATTAACTGGTTGGCCAGGGTACGATACGGATGTTCCGTTTTAGATCCATCAATAACTGAGCACTTCATCAATTCCTGGCTCAACGATCCACTCAAGATGGAACACTCACGGGATTCTCCTATCGTTCCAGTCCCCATCTGAACTGAACTGAACTGGCAAAGCACAGGACGGCCGATAATTCTGGCATATAGTCAACTGTCTAAAGCAAGACCACCGGTTTCGAATTCCGAATATACTTGATTTGTCTCTGCTGATGATCTTTCATTAACGGGGTTCAGTGGTTTCCGAAAATATGTCAGTTGTTCCATATTTCGTGGATACGCCAATGGTGCTTTGGAAGTGCTGATTAAAGCTGGACCCTAGGTTGCGCCACTGATGATTCGTGGGTTCATATTTCGCGCTGCCATCATGACTGTGCATGTTGTTAGCGCGCTCCAATTACAGTGCTATATCCGGTGAAAGTAAATTCCACAGACCACTTCCTAGAATGCGACAGCTGGCACTAAATTAATTCGTTGACACCGTTTTTGTCTCATGTTAATCGTCTTGAACCTCAATTTCGTCCTATATTATTCTTGGATCCAGTGTCCTTAAAGTTCCTTTATCAGATAAATTCACTGGTTTTAACGAATGGTCTGAGTATCACTGAACGCAGTGTCCCCAGGGCTGGATGTTATCTGTTAACGTATCGCAATACTACACACAGCTACCGGTTCCATGGTTGTTTTGTGCTCAAGGAACAGACAGCAGCAGAAATGATACCGGTTATGGGAACGTAGAGATTACCGGGGCGATACTTGTCCAGATTCAGGTTGGGTTTCGAAATCCACCATCCACACAACCGGTCTTTCCGACGTATCAAAAATGCGCCTGCAGCTAAGTATTACATGTTGCCCGCCCGAAAACACTACGCTCCATGACGTGTTTCGAACTCAACTGATCTCATCGGTACGGATAGCAGGCATCAAACCCGGATTTATTGGGGTGTTACTTGGAATCCCTAACCCTTTACCTACCAGGTCACAATGGGGAACATTTGTCACACCGGTTAATGTCTGATTGGATTACGACGCGCAATCACAACGTGGACCAGGACTCGCTCGAAAGTGAAGTTTGGTCTATTCCATCACTGGGGCGGGAACTGATGAAACAGTTGAATATTCGGTCAGCTTGTTATGATCCCCGTGCCGTCTGTTGCCTAAATCTCTTTCCCTTTTCACTTACTTTCTCGACTCAGGTGACTATCGTCGCTTCCGGCTCCCCACTGTTTTACTTATGCTCTCGATGTCTTGGAGTATCGATAAACGTTTCACTTTTCTCACATTTCATGTTAACTAGCATGTATGTTGGAGCATGTATGTTGTGCCCCATGTTGAGGCTGATGTTGCATTCTTGATGCTTCTTCACCGCAGTTGGGCTAAACCAACTTACACTTAAATTAGGTCTGTTTAAGCTGCATAATTTTCATTCCACTTTATTTGGTTTGTTCCGCCTACCTGATTAATCTTCTACTAACTGGCCATGTTGCTTACATTGATTGCGCTTATCTTCAGTAACTTTGTTGCGTTTGTAGCATTTTTAACTAACTTGTGGACATTTCTTACTTATCGCGGATTCGTTGCTAACCAACTTACTTCGTATGGTAATTAGGGTATAGTTATGCCACCGTATCTGTATGCATTATTGAATTTATTTTATTTCCGCCTGTCGTTTATAGTGAATGGCTGTTGCTTGATATCCCCGGCGTGGCTGCGCTTGATGTGCATGTTGACAAGGTGCCTACCTGTCTATTACCCACTACCTCGTTCATACTGGCTCCAGGAGACGGTTGGTCGTTGCTGGAGGGGACGGGGTGCACGGTCCTTGTGGCCGTGCTAGGCTCAAAGAGCGGTTCCATGCACTCAGTGTGGAGCGGACTACGGTCCAGCCACCGCCTTGTGTGCGCTTGATTCCCCAAATACAGCGTGCCTGTGAAGGAGTGTGAGCCGGCTCCGTTGATGAAACGTGGTTCCCATCCGCATTCCTCCCGGTCTTATTCCTTCGGGTTTACACTGTATATGGGGTGTGTGGTTGGAGCTGTGGGTGGTGCAGCGCAAGCCACCCATGGTCCCTCTTTAGGCGCAGGCGTCCTGTGGCTGGCCACAGTGACAGGCAAATCCGAAACTGGATGCCGCCAACCAGGTTGGAGCGCAATTGCCGTACCCCATTTGAATGGTTTTTCTTGTGGCTAGCAATGCGTGGAGAACGTTACAAACTAGACTGAATAAAAAATGGATGGCGGCCATCCTTTCATTTGGTTTCAGCACGCAGGCATGTACACTGACGCAACTGGACGGGATACTGTTCTTGGTGGGAACAAAACACTTACCTGTTGGTGGTGATATGGTGCACGGTGGTTAAGTAACGGGCGCTAAAAACAGTCAGTGAATCAAATGGTCTACCTGTTTTTGGATAGTGCTCAAAAACACACGGGGAAATTTGGCCGCATTTGTCACCGTCGTACTAAGCGAAGCTCAGCGCTATATCAGGGGATGACTGAGTTGGAGTACACATGCTATAAACAGCAGGCCGCCTGCCGCAGTCTCATAGGTTAGATGTGAGATCCAGGTTGTTTATCTCCAATGTTTTTCGGGCATCGCTACTGTTGTTAGTCTACTGACTCATTCTGTATCACAAAGATATTGACGAAACACCAATCGTTGAAGGAGTTGTGGAGGAGAGTGCGATGCGGAAGCGTTTGACTAAAACCCAGGATGAGAAATTTACGTAACATTGTCTATTTCATCTCCCACAATTAGGCCTTTGACGGAACACCTTACTCCGACTAGCGCTCCTCGGTTTGTGGATTGATTACCCATCCATTTTGGAAATTAGTTACTTAAATTGCATAATATTTTGGAATGCGGCTTCGCAACATTCGGAATGCTGTGCGTAGATGATCAACTTTTAGCTCAAATTGGTTGCACACCGT